GACAAAAGATGAAAACTTTGAACATTTCGATGATTACATCAAGATGGCATCTGGAATGTGGCTGCCTATAATGTCTTGTCATGTTTTGTTTGTATCTCACAATTTGACCAAAATTTTGACCAAAATTCAACGAGTGCAAAATATGGCTGCTAAAATGAAGATAAAAGATAAAGATCTCTTAACTAAAGATATTTTCGTATAGTGCAATATCCTCTACGTGTCTTAAGATTTGTGTACCAACAACAAAATGTAAAACCTTTGCAGATAAATAATTCTGTGTAGCGGGAACACCTTATAAAACAAGTTAATTGAACGATTAAAAACCTATAAACCTGTGAACCCTTTAAGAGAAAGTTAAAAACACATCTTTTTAGAAGAACTTTTACCTAATAAGAACTGTGCGTGTGTATAGATATTGAATATAAATATTTGTGTTCGTAAAGTGCCATTGAAGCTATGAACATAATTATATGGATAACAATTACTTTAATAAATAACTTGCCAGACTGAAAACAATTTAGCTATCTTTTGACTGTCTACAGTCCTTTTTATACGCCCACATGAAATGGGAGGCGTATATTGTCGTCACCCATATCCGTTGGTCCGTCCGTCCGTCCGCCTGTCCATCTGTCCACAATTGCTCGTAAACACTCTACAAGACACAATTCTTGTAGGATTTTGACAAAACTTGGTATGAGTGTTCGTAATCATCCAAGGATAAACCTTATTGAAAATCAGAAGAATCGAAAAATATTGAGTATAAGTTATTGCCCTTGTTCTTGAAAACGCGTTCAATTTTTAGCTTGTAAACACTCTAGAAGGGACAATTCTTGATGGATTTTAACGAAACTTGGCATGAGTGTTCGTAATCACCCAAGGATGAACCCTATGTAAAATCAGAAGAATCGAAAAATATTTAGTATGAGTTATTGCCCTTGTTCTTGAAAACGCGTTCAAGTTTTAGCTTGTAAACATTCTAGAAGGGACAATTCTTGACAGATTTTGACGAAACTTGGTGTGAATGTTCGTTATCACCCAAGGATGAACCCTATTGAAAATCAGAAGAATTGAAAAATATTTAGTATGAGTTATTGCCCTTGCTCTTTCATATTTTTATTTAAAATCAAAGATGCCAGTGGGCGTATATTACCTTGCCTGGCAAGCTATCTTTGGTTTTTATACGCCCACAAATATATTTTGGGTGTATATTGTAATCACCCTGGTGGTCTGTAAGTCGGTCAATCTGATCACATTTGGCTCGTGCTCACTCTACGGGCAACAATTCATTATGGATTCTTTTGCTTTTTATTTTATTGGTCAATGGCATTATGAAGATGATCCCCATCGATTTTCCTGATGATTTGATAATTTTTTTATCGTGTCTGACTTTTGCTCACACTTCTTTATGGATTCTTTTTATATGCCCACACATAGTATGGAAGCATATTGTCATCTGTCCGTCTGTTCACAATTAGCTCATGCTCACTGTACAAGCTACAAACAATGATTTGTACTTGCAATCAAAGCTGCTGGTGGGCATGTGTCACCTGGCTTCCCAAGGCTATCTTTTAATGGTGCTACAGATATGTGTAAGTCAATGTCATGGCAGTTTAATACATTCAGTATGCCCCTTTTCTCTTGTCAACTTTTTTTTGTGGTTGTTTTATTTATTGCTCGTATTTGTAAACTGCTTTGTTTTGCAAATGTTTTTTTTTTTTTTTTTTTTTTGAATTCTGCTGCCATTGCCCAGCCTAAACTTTGCATGCCACATTCTCACTTTTTCGATTTCCTTGTCAAACTCGTGAAAATTGATAATATGAATATAATTTGGTGCACATTTTTTCAACCGGAAATGACGTAGGATGAAAATGTATTTTTTCTTCTTTTGTAATTAACGGCTCTGATGAAATCTATAACATGGTGCCTTTGATTTTGTTGTATGATGTCTACATCCGTTTTTATAGCCATTTGAATATTGCGAATAAGACTATAACACAAGCCGAGTGCCAGGTATATTCTTAAATGTTTGGAACATGGATTCCTATATTTCAATAATTCTAAATATGGAAGAGACTGATCCAATCCACACAAAAAAATAAAAATTCTAAAGATGTACTTTTTAATTTTAGAAAAAATAATAAAAGAGGAATGCTC